TTTGTTTTTTTATTTTTGTTTTTACAAAATTCGTTTTATTGTATTTTTCTCCAATTGTAACTTTAGTTTCTTTTTTTTTCACAAAATCCATGGAGCACAACATTAGTAAATAAACATGGTTGTTTACAGAAATAACATAAATTAGCCAAAAAATATAGTTGGCGTAGTCTCCATTCGAGGTACCAATATGACAATGCGTCATACATTATCGTCTTTGACGGGCTGCGGCTCCGGCTGGTTCTTCTTATCCGGAAACAGCGCCTCCATGTCATAGATGGAGGCCCACGGTGAGTCGGGCGCGAACCGCAGCATCTCCTCGCTACCCTGACCTGTCTCCGCCGCTAGCAAAAAAAAAGCACACCTTATTTAATTTATCCTGCTACCTAAAGACCATGGTATAATAAGACAAGAAGGGCAACTCCATAGAAGCGTTTTAAGTTCCTTGTGAAAAACTTCGTCCAGGGAAGTACTGCCACGTTAAGTATTTCTGCCCCCAAGCAGTATTGAAAACGTTACTGTTTTGAAGGGTAAGGGTGCTGGTGAAATTACTGACAACTGATGTTTCAAGGTGACGGGCGCAGTATCAGTACACTTAATATTTTTGTAATTTAAAGCTCTGAGTGGTACTGCAACTGTCATGGACAGGTGTGTCGCTTGCCATCAGGGGCAAGACTTGTTCGTCACTAAGTATCATAAAAAAAGTAATGATCTCACGGTGCACTCGCGTTGCGTAGCGCGGGTCGTCGCACACGCCGTTTATTAGAGAATTGAAACGGTTGCTCAGTGTTTAAAAATAACATCAAATAGTAGATTTCTTTATTGTTGTTTGTGGTTGTTTGAACATGTGTCTCAAATTCCGAGTTGTTCAGCATTACATTTCTTATTTCATAATCATAAGATTATTACTGGTAAAATTATATTTAGATCGAAAACAGTAAGTTTACGACTGTTACATAATGAAAGGCATTAAAAAACAAGTGCGGGTTTATGAAACGAACATCTCACGAGTGTTTTAATGCCTATTTATGTACAGTTACATACACGGCTTTATCTACACACATGTTATAAGCTCTCAGTGATGTATTTAGGAATCGCAAGACACGACTGGCGAAATGGCGGCAAATAAAAACTTTTCTCACACATGTCACACAACCGTAGTTTTTATTTTTAATTCATAGACAAACTAGAATCGACCCCAACTATCATATCGTTCGACATCAAGTAACGTGTGAAATTGTCAAAATAGTTTGCTAATGAATGACATTTCATTTCGAATAAAACTTCATCTCGACCGATATTAGAATTGAGGTTGAATCAAATTGTTTTGTTTTTCAGAGATGCTCGAAATTTGAATGTAATAATAAAATCGAATTTGATAATAACATTTTCACAGATAAGAAATTTGTTCTAACAAAACAGTTTACTTTATGCTGGTCATAATTTGCGGTTTTTGAACACATTATGGAGAGTTTATGATACGTGCGTAGATAAAATAGTTTTATTTCCTATCTGTAACAATTACAAAAAATCTAAGAACTCTATAAATTACTGTAGACTTACGCAAGGTGTGGTAGATGAGGTGCGACTCCTCTTTCGTGAGGGTGGCGAAGGTGCCGTCGTAGGAGGGTGCGAACGAGCTGAAAGGGCCGTAGTTGAGGGGTTTCACGCCCTTCGCCACGTTGCGACGGTCTTCCCTCGTGGCTGGGGAGACACCAAAAATATATTCAATGTAATCAAATAATTAGAATTTTCTACAGCGTTCTTAAAGTGAATAGTGTTGTTACAAGTAAACTTTACATAAAAAATCACAAGTTTATGCCTTTTGAAGTCTAACTTCGTGTATACGTGCATACACTGTCGATGTCGTAGTTAATTAACGAAATTACAGACACATGGAACTTGTCAACTCATGTTTAAGGGTGCCGGGCGCTGTGGCAGTGCCCCTCAGATCGATCTTTGCGATTT